TAAACATTTATTAGCACCCCACTGCCACTGGGTGACCAAGAAAGAAATTGATACACATAAGCTTTGAAACATCTTAGTTCCAAGGAAGCAGTGGGTCCTGTTACCATGTGCAGAGCTGATTTGAAGAAAAACTGAAAACGCTGCTTCTCTGCTTGTTCTGTCTTCCTCTGTTTGTCACAAGTGAGAAACCTGTTTGCTTTCCTCCTAAATTTGGTGATTTTTGAGGCTCTGTCTTCCCTGTGGGCTGCACTGCAGCTAAACTCCCCCTAGGAAAGCGGATTGCAGTTTTTCCTGCCTAATTGGCAAACTGAAAATGTGCTGGCAAGAATATGTCTGAACTAGGCATCAAAAGAGCTCATTCCCAAGTGATTTGAACAGCAATAACAGTGTTAGCTTCTCCAACAGAGAAGAAATCATTTATAAATGATTGTTTAGCTGGTTTTGCTTTTTATTAAAATTATTACTGTGAAACAGAAAGCTTTGTCTGCCTTTGTCCCCCAAACTCTGTCCCTATTGGTGGTTCTTTTCAAGTAAGAATCACATGCTGAATCTACATTTTATTATTTTCATATCATAAAATGAGGGAAAGACTTCATAGAAACTTCATCCTATTCACTTGCACACCAGCTGCATTCGGAAAAACCATAATTTGCCTTTCAAACGCAGAGTGCTGTCTGAATTATAATACTGCCAACTCTCAACTGTCAAGATGATGAAGGAAAATACTCATGCAGATGGTATGAGCTTGTCGTGGGCCTGCTCAGTGCGCTCTCCCCGACTGACTTTAGAACTGAGATTCGAATGGCAAGTAAGAGCTGAAAGCCATTAAGAATGGCTGAGTGGTGCAGTGAGGGCCCAGGGGACTGAAGGAATCTGTGTACCCACCGGAAGAGCCACTGGAACTCGTTTTCATGACATTTCAAAAGGCTTCCTGGAAGAAACAGTGGTAAGAGCTTTAGGAACTAACTCCAGTCAGTACCAGGCCTGAGACCCTTGAACTGAGGCTGTTCTTCAACCTGCGAGGGTCCAGGAGCCCACCTTGAGTGAGAGAGCCCCCGGATAATGCTTCATTGTCGCAGCTGGGGATGCTGCTCCATCGCCCACTCATACTGTCATTCAACCCAAATCCTGAGGAATGTGACCTGTATTTCTTTATTTTCTATGAAATTCTTCAAATGACACAGAAGCAAAGAGGATGGTTTAGTAAACTCAAATTTTAAGTGATCAAAAAATTTTTTTCTTGTCTCTACCTATTTCTTTTCCTTAAGCATTTAAAAACAAACCTCACACACCATATCGTTTCTTCTCTGCATATTTCAGCAGCCATCTCATTTTTAAAAGAGATTTTCTTTGGAGGGGATGGTAATAGCTCAGTGGTAGAGCATAGTCTTAATATATACAAGGCCCTGGGTTCTAGCCCCAGTATCTCCATCAAAAAAAAAAAAAAAAAAAGGAAAAGGAAAAAGAGATGCCTTATGCCTTTACCACAAACAACAAAATTAACAGTAATTCCTTGTCACCATCTAGTTCCCAGTCCATATAAACTTCCTCCAGCTGTCTCAAAAGAACTGCATTTACTGCATCACAGACCGATGTTTTTGGTGGAGTGGGAGGTCCTCTGGAAAGGGTGATGACTGCTCCCCCACCATCCTGACTATGGCTCTGGCACAAATCACGCTGAAGGGGGTCCAGTAGGGAGAGCTGTAGACCGGCTACAAAGATCTTCCCCAGCTGTTGGATCTTTGGATTTCCTCTCCCCAAGGATAAGCCAATGAGCCTTCTATTCTCCCATGTCCCACGGTCATCCCCTGAGACTTTCCCAGATTCCTGCTGCTGACACCCACCTGGCCGTCATGCTGGTTCCCATTTCACTGCTTTTCCTGCAGCTGCATCTTTCACAGCAGGAATTTCCTAAATCAGAGAAGAGGCTTCTCCCAAGGATTACCGCTCCTCCAACGGCCTCAGATCTACTGTACCGTCAGTGAATCACACTCTTGAGGGCTCCCAGGAGGCCTTGGCTTCTTCGTTTGTTAGAAAATTTGGGCTGAATTTCTCATGAGATAAGTCAGAGATTTGAGTGGCAGCACACTGTGTCTCATCTGCAGGTGCTCCTCTGCCTAAAGAGACGGCAACTGGATGCACTGGGATCTTCTTCTGCTCTAAAGAATATCATTAGTGCTTGCTTTGGCAGCACACATACTAAAATTGGAATGATTCAGAGAAGATTAGTGTGGCCCCTGTACAAGGATGACACGCAAATTTGTGAAGCATTCCATAGTTTTACAAGGTCCCACTGTAGAGCACAGGGAACAATATTCACTACCTTGTAATGGCCTAAATGAAAAAGAATATGAAAAGGAATATATATGTATAAATGAAACACTATGCTGTATACCAGAAATTAACACATTGTAAATATTCAATTAAAAATAATAAAATAAAGAATATTATTAAGACAATTGGCGATATTTGAACTAAAGTCTGTATTTTATTGTTTGATAGTATCCTATCAATGACCAATTTCCTGATTTTGATGATTGTGCTGATGAGAATATGTAAGAGAGGGTCCTTGTTTTTAGAAGAGCCATATTCAATATTGAGGGATAGGCATCATGTCTGCAACTTACTTTTCAATGATTCAGAAGATAATGGGTCTCTATAGAGAGAAAATGATAAGGCAAATGTGGTACAATGTTAACATTGGGGGGAGCCTGGATGAAAGGCGTATGGGAATCCTTTGTGTGAATAGTCTAAATAAATCTGAAATTACATCAGCCTCATCTGCCGGGGTCACCTCTTCTCCAGTAAATGTTTTGTTTCAGGGCATTTCCTGAGGCTCTCTCCTCTTCCTGATCCCTAGGCAATCGCCTCCATTTCCACAGTATAGCGGAATCCAGAGCAACTACTCAAAGTGAATTTTTGTTGAATAAAGGTTCATAGACAACATGATACAGTTTGTAACAGTGCACAGGTGCTTGCTGTAGGAAAAATTTAGCCAGGCCTTTCAGAGATGACCCCTCAGCTCCACAACTGCAAATCCTGCTGAAGATGCCTAGGAAAGGTTACCTGGTAGAAAGATAAGAGACACTCTTGTCTCCCCAGAACTCGTGGTTTTCTTGTACCTGCGTATACCTTTTGGATCAACTAAATCACATTTCACAGAGATCTTCAGAATTGAGCTTATGTCCTGCATCACTGTATCATGTAGGAAAGGGAAATATATTTTCATCAAAGAGTCAGAAAAAGAGGGCAAAATAAAACATTTCGGATTAGTGAAAGAAAGCATATCAGAGAATTTGCCACCAGCAAACCCTCCCTGTAGGAAATACTGAAGGATGTGTCAGTAATGTGAGGCCAGACAGAAGGTGTGAAAAGCAAGAAGGAATATGATGACTTAAAAAATATATAATAATTGTGATGTGTGGGTTTAAGACACACTGGAAATAAATAACAGTGATAACATATAAGTTAGGGGGAAGTAAATGAAGTTAAAAGATTTGTATTGTCCAGGATGAGGGTAAATATCCTGGATAACTTTAGACATTGATAAGTTGAATTTCTGGTGTAATTACTAAAAGAATAGAAACACAGAATCTAACCTACAAACCTACAAGGGGTAGAAAATGGAATGAGAAAAAAATATAATCAACCTAAAAGAAAGACTGGGGAAATAGAACACGCAGGATAAACAGAAGGCACAAAATAAGATCACACATTTAAACCTAATTTAGCATATCAGTAAAATGTAAATTGACTAAATGCTTCTTTAAGAATGACAGATATAAAAATATCTAATTATACTCTTTGGATAAGAGATACTTCCAAAACATAAGGATACAGATTGAAAGCAAAAGGTTGCAAGAAGAAATCCCAAGTATTTAGTCAGGGTTTAGTCAGGAACACAGAAGCCTCTCTGAGCATTTTGAGAAAAGAGACTTACTTAATGCCGGGAATCACAGTCTTACACAACCTGAAATGGTTGCGTGATTAGAGGACAAAGGTCAGCAAGCTGCTTTCACGGGAAACCTGCTTTCAGGAAAGCAAGAGTGGGTGATTCTCAGGAAGCTTAATGGCTGCTCCCTCTCATCTGGCTTCCAAACACTGTGCAGTTGCCCCTCTTTGGCTGAATTTAATCCAGAATCATAAAAGGAAAAAGATACTGGGAACTAGTCCCAAGCTTCAGAGGTAAGTGACGACACGCAGCTGATAACAAGCAATCTAGCCCCAAAGGAAATAGGTGTAGCTATGTCAATATCAGACTAAAGTATCAGACTCTAAGGTCAGAAGTATTACTGGAGATAAAGAGAATCACTTCATAATACAAAAAATATAAGATTCAATTCACCAGGAAAATACAACATTTGAATTTGTACTTGCTTAATAACCAAGCTTCAAAATATATGAAGCAAAACTTGACAGAACTACAAGGTGAAATACATACAGCCACAATCATATTAGATGGATTTTATCTACCTCTCTCAGAAATAAATTTAAAATTCAGCAAGGACAGGAAGAGTTTGAAAATATGAAAAAAATTTGACTTAATAGACATATACAGGGCACTGTGCCCAATAACTCCATTCTTTTTAGCACACACAGAACATTTACAAATATGTATTAACCATATTCTCGGTCACAAAGCAAATCCCAACCAATTTCTAAAAGTCTAAATTGTACACAGCTTATTTTATAATCTTAATAAAATTAAGCTGGAAAATAACAAAGAAGTAATGAAAGTCACCATCTTTGAGAAATTAAGAATCATACTTTTAAACGACTTATGAGTCATAAAAATGTAAGAAATATTTAGAACGAATGATAATAAAAATACTGCATTTCACAATATGTGGGATCAATGAAAGTAGTATCTAGAGGAAAATTTATAGCCTTAAATGTAAGTATTAGAAAATCAGAAAGACTGAAAATTAAATGACTAGACATGTGAAAAAGCAGAAAATTATGGGCCATAATCCAGAGGAAAATCAGTCAATAGGAAAATAAATTTAAACAATTTAATTAAGCAATAATTTCATAAATATACTCAGTGGGCAAGGATTCATAAACAAGAATTCACAGGTGGCAAGAACAGAAAACAGATAAGGGAGGGGGGAAAAAAGAGAAAGGGGCCATTGACTATGGTAAAGGAGGGAACTAGAATTTAATGAAATGGACCTGGAAGGACTTTTTTAGAATAGAGATGTTCTAATTTTTTTAAATTATCTGCTGAAGAGCTGTTGATCCTTCTCCTCCCTCCTCCAATCTTCGTTAAACATCTATTTGAAAGAGCTGGCAGGGTGGCCAGCTGACTTACTTTTATTATATGTGTGAGTGAGTTAATTTAAGACAGGAACGTAAAACTCTCTGACTGGTTCTGATTTGCATATCCTCTCCCTGGTGCAGATCTACCCAGGAAGCGAAGCGCTAACGGGCAGGCTGCCTGGCAAGTCTGGAGGAGAAAAGGATGTGCTAAATGACCAGAGTCATCGACGGGACAAGCTGAGACGTCCACAGCCACATCTGGGCCATTTTAGAACATTACAATGAGGTTGGGTTGAGTTTGTGTTTGGTGGGGAGGTGGGGGCCGGTGGTGAATCAAGGTCCCAAAGCTGGGATTTGAACCTGGGCATGTCTGCTCTAGTGCCTGCACTCTGTCCTGTACATCACAGGGGACCTTTAGAGTATTTCTCCCCCAGACGGGAGAGATGGCTCACATCTGCTTTGAATAATTATCTGAGAAAAGAAAGACACCAACCTGGAACGGTGCCTCTGCCAATCCATACTGAAGCTCCTTGAAAGGCCCAGGGGCCTTTTCTGGCCAAGATCCACAATTTATGTCTGCGTTTTGCTATTTATTTTCTCTATGTCTCATGTCCTTTTTTTGTCCCTCTGTTTCTCTTTTATTGCCTTTTCCATTAAGTGGATTTTTTTCTAGTGCAACATTTTAATGTCTTGGTTGATTTTAACTGTTTTTTAGAGTAATTTTTTTAGTGATCGCTCTAGGAATTATAATGGGCATTTTAAGCACAATATATCTCAGATTAATGCTAACTTAATTACAGTAAAATAGAGGAACTTTGCTCTGATACAGCTCTATTCCCTCCCTCTTTCTTTGGCAAAGATCTATGAAGCACACATCACCAGAGACCTCTGAGAAACAGGATAAACTATTTGCAGTTTAATTACAAATATCTTGTTAGTGAACTGACAGCACATTACTCAAAAGTTGTATGAAGTCATAATAAACAAGAGTTTTACTGATGGCTATGCCTCAAGCTCTACATCCTCCAACAGACACTGTGGAGCAATGAAAACACAGTGATGCGTGCAGTCCCAGGGGAAGTGGGGCATCTCAATTTATAGCCCCTCTAAGCAGCTGTGCCAGGCTGGAACGTATTAGATGTTCAGTTGTCCCTAGAATAGCCCCTGATGCAGAGCGCATGGACCACTAAGTAACGGGATGAGCTTCCTCGGCTGAGATGAGGTTCAGTAAGTCTTGAACGGCGTTTTGTTCCTGGACACTGAGCTGCTGTTCTTTGGCTAGATTGAAGGCTCTCGTGGCATATTCCTGGGCCTGAGATAGAATTGCGGTGACAAAAGGAAGTTGTCACAGAAAAGCGTTACATTGGAAGTCCCAGCTCTGCTCCACCCCAGAAACACGGGAAAGCATCCTTCAGCTTCCCACACAAGCCTCGGAGCTCTTTGTGGAAATTTGTGAACACACACTGGGTCTTCACAGCTAGTCACACGTGTGGGATGGGGGTGAGGGGGGTTCGGGAAAAGGGAAACATGGCCATTGCACATTTGAGTTTACAGCAGACAAAGCCTCTTTTCTATAGTTCAGGGCCTTTGAACCAACACTGGGAGGCACAGAGGTGAGATGGGCCACCAGTAAATTGTCATCCTGAGGGCCATGTGGCCCAGAGTTTTGACTTGGACAGAGGCTTTGCAGGACACCTTGGGACAGACTCTGGCTGGCCCTCACTTCCTTCCTCCCGCCCTCTTCCTTCCCTCTTTCCTTCCTTCCTTTCTTTCAATAAATATTTATTGAATGGTTACTATATTCCAGGTCCTGTGACTACGAGCAGGAATTCCTGCCCTCATGGAATTTACATTATAGTGGGGCAGAGGCAATAAGCAAGGCAAATAAGGAAAATATGATGGTATCTTAAACAGTGATACATGCTAAGGAAAAAAATTAAGCAGGGAGGGGGACAGGAAGCCTCAGTGGTGGCAGTGGGGGTTTGCAGTCTCAGATGGAGGGCAGGGAAAGCCTTACTGAAAAGCAGACAGCTGAGTCCAGACCATGCTTGAGTAGACAGATGTGTCCCTTTTCTCTAAGAACTTCCTATAGATCTAACATCCTTAACACACCCTGGGGGAATGACTTCCTTGAGTAGAAAATGGGGCTCTGAAATGTAGCAAAGAGGCTTTGTCCACTGTAAATTCAGAAATTCAGTGGACATGTTTCCCTGTTCCCAAAGCCCTCTGAGCCCCATCCTCTGTGGGGTCACTGTCCCTCCTCTGTGCTCCTACAGTGCCCTGGGTTTTGCTGTGATATGCCATTGTAACCCACTGACTGGGAGCTCCTCCAAGCCTTGGTATACAGTGGGTGCTTAGTAAAACTTTGCTGAAGAAAGGAAGGGGGGTAAGGGAGGAGGGGAAGGACATCCTAAATTTTCCCATGTCACCCACACAGAAAGGCCCCCTCCAACCAGCCCGCCACCCTCTTCTCTCCCCTTGACTGCCTTATATTCCTTTGTTGTGCTTTCCACTATCTGAAATTATATTATACATTTATATGTTTACTTGTTTATTGTGACCTTCCCTCCTCCAGAAAAATGTAAGTTCCATGGAAACAGAGAACTTGGCCGGTGGGTCACCACTGCACCCCCAGTCCCTAGGACAGTGCCTTGCAAATGGTAGAAGCTCAATAAATATTGGAGTGAATGAGAGGATCAGTCAACCAAGAAATCAAGAAACCTGAGATTTGCCACTTACTGTCTATAAGAAATTGGGCAAATAATGGACCCTCCCTGTGCCTCAGTTTCCCTATCTGTAAGGTAGGAATAATAAAATACCTACTTCATAAGGTTGGTATGAGAATTAAATATGCTAGTTCACGAAAAGTACTTAGTGACTGGGATGCCATAAGCACTCAAAAACAATCACCCTCTCAGTTATTTCATGGCAACCCGTTTCTGCCTGGATCCCCCCAGCAACAGGGAACTCACGACCTGAATGTAGTTAGACTAATGACTCCATTCCTCCAAGGACTCCCCAGAGCCCTCCTGCCCTGCTTCCCAGCATGGCCCCAGCCTCAGTTAACCTACGCAACCCTAGGGTGGCCCCGTTGAGGGAAGAAGACAATCTTGGTTCCATTTTGTGGACTGGACTCCACACACGAGAAATGTTAAAAGCATCTGAACTTTTTTGGAGTGAGGGCTGGCGCTGGGGACGAAAGCTAGTGTGGCTGGGCAAAACATAGCTGAATTCCACCGGAGGGATTGCTTCCTCCATTTCAGACACGCTGCTCTTCTAGGGAAACTTGCCTTGGAAGAATTCATCATCTGGTGGTAAAGCATGACCAGGATTTTTAGAACAAAGACTGTTTTTTGCGGGGCTTTGTCAGGTGTAGATTCTCGAATGTTCAAGATTGAAGTCAGGATCTGAATGGCTTCTGCTTCCTGGGCTTCATCTGCAGCGGGAAGAAAGGGAGGAGAAGAAACAGGCCCCCGGGCAGCTGCACCCATTCCCTGGATGAGCACTGGGCTGTTAGAGCCACAGCGAGTTTGTCACCCGAAAGACGGCCGCCACATGCCAACAGGAGTCTGGACAGTGTCAGGCAGCTCACCAGGCTGGCCCAGAGTTCCTAAAAAGATGTTCATTCCACAGGTCCCAGAGTTGCTAAGGTTTCACCCTTCAGACTCCTAAACTGGATCTCTTAGTCCCCAATACAGGGACTCTGACATGGTGGGATTCCTTGGATCCAACATAGCTTTCATTCCAAAGCAAGAGAAGGGAGCTGGGGCTTCTGGCGGCTGCTGCACCTTAACTGTTCTTCCCCAAATCCCAGGATGCTTAAGCGATAGCATCCGTGCTATGACTTTCTGCCTCCCTGGTGTGAGGCTGTTGACTATTTCCTCCACCAACTTTTGGCCCTAGGCATCATCTATTGACTTATTATGAGTTACTATGGGCCAAGTAGTTAAAAGCACTTTTTAAGTAGAAGCTTAGAGAAAAAGATGGAAAGGACATACACAATAATGCGGGCTGTCTTTGGCTAGCTACGATTTTCAAGTTTTCTGCTTTAACATGAACCACTTTCATAATGAGAGAAAATTCAATACAGTGATTCACTTTTTAAAACCTTAGCTCAAAACTTAGAAGTCTCCCTATTCAACACCATCCAACTGTCCTCACCTCTTTATTCTGGGACTCATCTTCAATATAATTTGTCCTTGTAGAAGTTTTCTTGTATTTTACCTTCTGTCCACCCACTACACTGTATGTCTCTTTTGAGCAAAGACTAGACCCTCTGTCTTTTTTTATACTCTCAGAGGGAATGATGCATTCCACAGCCTTCAGCCCTTTGCTGAGCTGGGGGCAGAGATATGAATCAGACTCAGCCCTGCCACTGAGAAGCTCACTGTCCAGTAAAGGATGAGGCACCAGAAAAGTGAGCAACGGCCCTTCTGGGTGGACTCAACCTTTGCTTATGTGTCCTGTAGGGGTAATATACAAGTAATGGATGCTCAGCAGAAATCTCAGGGGGTTCTAGCAGGGTCTTGTTTTCCTCCAAATCTGTCCCTTATTAACCCCTTCGCAAGGCTGTGTGTGATGCGAGGTGTCTGAATTCTTCCCAACTCTGGTAAAATCTCTTTGATCCCTGTCTGTTTCCCCATCAGTGAAATGGGCAATATGGCAGCTGTGCCCCATTGCGGACCAGGAGGGAATGAAGTCACTGCTCTGCCTCCAAGAGACAACTGCCACTTACCCAAGCCTGTGTCAGTCTCAAATCGTTTGCCCAGTAGATCGATTTGTTGGATGTGAGCCTGGGAGAGCACTTGGTAGTGATCATTTAAATAATTATTCCAGATCTCAGAGACCTGTTGAGAAAGGAGATGGTAATCAGACAAGCAGGCCAGACCTGAGCCCTTGGACCAGCCAGCTGAGAGGGCAGTGCCTCCGACCAGGTTTCCTGACTGTCCGTAGACTCCCTCTCCCATTGTGCCTGGAGGCAGGGGGAGCCTTAGGAGCCCAAACCTGCTTGGCCAGGGTAAGTGTGACAAGTGTTGGGCTGCAAAGGGCATGTGGCAGGCTGATCTGGGGACAGCCCTGATGGGGTCTAATGACAACGGCTACCATTAATTGAGCACATACAACTAAACCTTTTCATCCTCCCTACATCCCAGTGGAGGTCATGCTCTTATTATTCCCATTTTATAAATAAACACACCGAGGCTCAGAAAAGTAAAGATCACACCTGACTTTTGGTAAGAGCTGCTGTGTGGCACAGCCAGGATTTAAATTCAAGTCTGCTTAATTCCAGAGTTCATTTTTTTTCGTCCACACCACTATGTCTCTTCCTCAGAAGTGGGTCTAAAATACCAATAAACAGTCCCAGCCTGAGAGCCTGTGTCACACACAGAAATGTCTGCTAAGTCAGGTTTTTGTATGAACATAGCCAACATTTTAATATATTGGAAACAGTTTAAAATCTTTTACAGGTAAAGATGGAGATTTTAAAGTACTTTTATGTTCTTTGATCCCTTCACAGGTCCTTTCAACAATGAATTTCCCTTAAAAACCTCGTCTCCTCCTCTATCCCACCCCTCAATCTGCCCACGTCAGCTTGCTTTTGTGGGTATGACAGAGAATATGGCAGACTATTTGGAGGGGTTTGGTTCTTATTGACTCATAATTTACTATCTGTTGATTGCTCCATGGATGCTGAGGACTAGACTATATTGGTAGTGGGGAAACAGGGAGAAAGAAAAGTGTAATCTATCAAGCATTAAGCTATGTGACCTTGGGCGAGTCACTTCATCTCCCTGGGCCTCAAACTTCTCATGAATTGTCTGACACCAGTTGCAAGGTACATGGCCTAAGTATTGAGGCTCAGCTCCCATAGTCCCCACCTCACCTTGGTGTACAATGTGTCTGCCAGGTCCAACTTTTTAAGGCCATAGAAGATATTAGCCAGGTGGAAGTAGCCTCCTGAGGTCCTGATGTGCTCTGTTCCAAACGCACAACTGGCAAAATAAATCTATAGAAGGAAGAAGAGTGTTTGAGTTTTCTTTGTAAATCATCTATCTGATAAAGGGCTTGTATCTGGAATATAGAAAGAAATTTTACAACAGCCCAATTGAAAAATGGGCAAAGGATCAGAACAGACAGATCACCAAAAAGACACACAAATAAACATATGAAATGATGTTCAACATTATTGGTCATAAAGGAAATGCAAAGTAAAACCACAATGAGATACATCTTCACACACACTAGAACAGCTCTAATCAAAAAGGCAGAAAAAAACATGTATCAGCAAGGATGTGAAGAAAATGGAACCCTCATATGTTGCTGGTGGGGGTATAAAATCATGCAGCCTCTGTGGAAAAGAGTTTGGCAGTCCTCAAAAAATTAAACACAGGACCCAGCAATCCCATTCTTAGGCATCCACCCAAGAGAAACGATGAATGTCTTCACACATAGACTTGTACACAAATATTCATAGCAGCATTATTCATGATAGTTGAACAGTGGAAACAACCCAAATGTCCATCAACTGATAAATGGTAAACCAACTGTGGTACATCCAGATGACAGCGATAAAAGGGATGACGTATCGCTAAACACAACAACATGGATGAATCTCAAAAGAATTATGCGAAGTGAAAGAAGGCAGATTCAGAAGACCACATCTCATTCTGTTTGTACTAAACATCCAGAAAAGGAAACTCTAGCGGGACAGAAAGTGGGAATGACAAATGACTGCAAATGGATATGAGGGCTCTCTTTGGGGTGAAAACTGGACTATGTTGATAGTCGCACAACTCTGTAAGTTTACTAAAAATCATTGAATTGTACACTTAACTGTACATACTGGGGTGGGAGGTATATAGCTCAAGTGGTAGCGCACATGCTTAGCATGCACAAGGTCCTGGGTTCAACTCCCAGTACCTCTATTTTTAAAAAAATTAAATAAATAAACCTAATTACTTCCCCCCAACAAAAACTAAAACAAAACAAAACAAAACAAAACAAAAACACCTGTACATACCATTGTATTTTATGGTGTGTATCAGTAACGCTTAAAGTTAGGTTGAGGAATCTGAGCTTGATCTAATTTTTAACACAGTTAGTACAGTGAGTCCCTCTCAACAATAGTGTCCAGTACACATGAAGTATAAGGGCCTGGCAGGGTTAGGAAGAGGTTGAGAATAGCAGCGGCAGCCCATCTAGGCAGGTCAGCTCAAGACTTACCCAGAAAAGTTAAGGCAGCTGTTCCTTAGGGATCAGCTGTTTTATTCCTGGGAAATGATTTTCACTTTCTTTGCAAATCTCTCTCTGATTGGCTGTGGAAATCGTTTGGTGAAATGCATCCAGAAAGCAGAGAAAATGTTTCATTACTTGCCATAGCAGCACTGAGCCCATTACAGCATCAGAACTGTCCCTTCCTGCAGTTTGCTAACGCTTCCAACTTAGTTGTTTGGAGCTCAAGCGTATGATTTTATACGCCTCTCCTGAAATCCTCATCTCTTGCAGAATATGTAATTATCTATTGTGGACTTATATTACAAAAATTGTAAATATAAGATTCTATCCATATATTTCATTATTATTAAGCCAACATTGTATATCATCTAGAATTCTTCTGTGGATCTAATAGGATAAAGACCTCTTGAACTCAAAAAAAAAAAAAAAAAAACCAACCTTGAGCTGGGTGACCCAGCTCAAGAAAGAATATGCTTCTGCTTAATTAGTTGGAGGCAAAGTATAGAGAGGAAATACAGAGAAGTGTATTAGTCAGGCTTCTGGGTGGAAAGAGAGGGCACCCTCAAAAGTACTTCCTGAAGACAGTTTAATCAAAGGATGATTTACAGAGACGTGGAAGGGGTAAGGAACCAGTAAGAGCTGGTGAAGCACTAGAGACTGTCAAGAGCAAGACACTATTACAACCCCAACTCCTGAAAAAACAAGGAGACAAGCAGGGTTCCCAGGGCCCAGCAAGAGCACGAGCTACAAAAGAAGGCTACCTGACAGCAGCTGTGGCCAAGGGAGAACACTGTCCCTGACAGAACTGGGCGGTTGCAGAGGACAGCAGAAAGAGTAAATACCCCAACCTCTCTCTCCTCCCAACCTCCACGCCTTTCCACGCCTCTCACTCTCCAAACCCAACCAAGGCCAGGGAGCAATGGAGTCCGGGTTGTGCAGTCTACAGAGGCCAGCCTCCCAGGGCAGAGTAAGGCAGAGAATTGGTTTGCGCTAAGGGGACATGGAGACTAACCAGCACAACAAGGTTTCCAGCAAACTTAGGGGCATTGTGCGGTGGCAAGCAACCAGAGGGAGGGTGGCCCAGCCGAGAGGATGAAGAGAGAACCAGCCTCCATGGAGACTGCGGCCCGACCCTAACCTCATTCAGATTTCAGGCCCAGGAACTCTTCCTTCTCGTAATATTGTCCAACACTGAAATCCTAATAGAAACTTCATGAATGTTGGAAGAACAGCTCAGTCATCACCCTCACCATCCTATCGAACATCTGTACAGCATTTCATGGTTTATGAAGCACTTTTGTATACATCCAGCTCACTTAAACTTAATGACCACCCTCTGAAGTAGAGATATTGATGTTACTTATACAAATAATGGCCAAAGTACTGCACGTGTACTGCTCTCCTGTTCATCCCTGCAATGAGCCAATGAGGCAGAGACTATTTCATGATTTCTGTCTTACAGGTGACGTTAAGTAATTTATCCAAGACTATGTAGCCAGTGAAATGGCAGAGCTGGGATCCAAAGGAAAGCCCTTCTCTTAAGCTGGATGCTCCTCTGCCTCCTTTTATCATCCTCAGAGCATCTGAAGCTTGGGAAGTGTCCAGGGAAGTGACCTAGACAAGGAGGCACAGGCAGAAAGTGGAAAGGCTGGAACTCAGGTCATTAGAACTGTGTTCTTGTTAATACCCCCACCAAAAGTTCAGTTGTAAACCAGAAGTTTTAGAGAAACACTCAGGGGGAAAAAAAACCCAAAACTAAACAGAGCTGATCTCAGAAACATTCAGGTGTAATAAAACAGCTTGTTTACATCATTGGCCAGATGATAGCGGGCTTCCTCATAGTTCTCCTTAGCCATGTAGAGAAGTCCCAGGTTCCGATGCAGCAAAGAGTGGGTGGCATAACTACATTCAGTCGATTTGAGGACTGTCCACTTGGCTTGGGATAGATATTCTTCAGCTTGGACGATCCGGCCCAGACCTGCCCAAAAGAAATAAAGATTTTAATTCATACCCTGGCCAGACAACACACGATGAAATATGAGTCATCACCCAGTCACTCATTTATTCTTTGACTTAAATCTTTACTGACACACAAAAACTTGTACACAAATGTTCACAGCACCCTATGCATAACAGCCAAAATAGAGGGGAGGGTATAGCTCAGGGGTAGAGTGCATGCCTAGCATGCTTGAGGTCCTGGGTTCAAGCCCCAGTAACTCCATTAAATAAAAAATTAATAAATAAATAAATAAACCTAATTACCAACCCCCCCAAAAAAGACACACACACACAAATAACAAAAACATAAAAACAACTTAAATGTCCATCAATTTATCAGTAAATGTACAAAATGTGGTCTAACCATATTTATGAGTGGCATATAATTCAGTCACACAAGGAATGAAGTACTGATACAGATTACAACGTGGGTGAGCCTTGCAAACATTGTGCTGAGTGAAAAAAGGCAGACACAAAAGGCCACATATTGCATGATTCCATCTGTATAAAATTTCCAAAATAGGCAAATCCATAGAAACTTGGATTGGTCAGTGGCTAGGGACTGTAGGCATGGGCCTGAGGTGTGACTGCTAATGGTACTGGGTTTCTTTTGGGGGTGACAAAAATATTCTCAAACTAACTGTGCTGATGGTTGCATGCTAATGAATATACTAAAACCACTAAATTGTACTTTTAAAGGGTAAATTTTTTGGTACGTGAATTATATCTCAATTTAAAAATATGTGTATATGTATACTCAGTACTTTTTATGAGCCAGGCCTTGTGCTGAGTAGGGATTCAAAGATGAATCAAAGCCATTACCCTTGAAAAATTTACAGTTTGGGTGAGGAAATGAATATGGGACACAAAAACAAGTATATTTGTAATAGTTATATTTATATATTATACATAATATAATTCTATATAATAATAAATATCTTAACAGTTAATTAATATTATAATATATAATGTGTTACATATTATAATAGTTATAATAGTTGTAATAGCCACATTATAGGGTTTGGAAGTGGCAAAGAGTCAGAATTGTTTACTTCTGTGGATTGGGTGGAGACGGACAATGGAGTGGGGAGAGGCATGGTTAGTGCTGTAGACTGAATGTTGTATCTACTCAAAATCCATATGCTGAAGCCCTAATCCCCAGTGAGATGGTATTTGGAGATGGGTCTTTTGGGAAGTAATTAGGTCATGAGGGTGGAGCCCTCAGGATGGGATTGGTGCCCTATAAGAAGAGACCTGAGAGAGATGCTCCACTTTGACCATGTGAGGATACAGCAAGAGAAGGAGACTGCCCACAAGTTAGGAAGTTGGTTCTCACCAGACACCAGCTCTATTGGCACCTTAATCTTGAACTTCTAACCTCCAGAACTGTGAAAAATGAATGTTTGTTGTTTAAGTCACCCAGTCTATGGTATTTGTTATAGCAGCCATGCTAAGATAGAAAAGTCTGAGCTAGGTTTTGAGGATGAATGAAAGTTTTCCAGATAGATAAGGGAAAGAGGGCATAGCAGGCAGAATGAACACATATGCAAAGCCATAGAGAAGTGAAAGAGAAGGCTGTGTTTAGAGAACTATACACTGGTCTGTGATGCTGGAGCACAAGGTGTGAGAGACCGAGTGGCAGGAAATGAGGCTAAAGAGGTAGTCAGGGCACAGACCATGGAGGGCTTAGCAATTTGCACCAAGGACCTTGATGCATGTGGATAAAAATTAGAGAACTGTCAGAAATGGAGAGAGAATTCACTGGATTTAGATTTAGAAGGATCCTCTGGAACCAATGCGGAGGAGAGAGCAGAGGGGAGGAAGAAAAGTAAGACACCCACCAGAAGACTTCTGCGATAGTTCAGATGGGCACTAAGAGCCCGAACTAAGGCAGCGAATGAAGTGGAGCAGACAGAAGAGACTTTGGAGCTAGAACGGACAGCACGTGGTTACTAAGTGAAGGTCACCTTTATTTCTAGCATTCAGGTACTTTTGATGCTTAAACCTTTTTGTTTAGCTGTAAAGATACATAACAGTTTCCTGCCTACCTGCTTGCCTCCTAGGGAGGTTGTCAGAACTGAACAGAAAACTACTCTGACAGCCTTCCACAGAGCAAGAGGCATGCTCTATGTGTGCAGTACTCCGCTCTGTGTATCAGATGCTGCAGCAGAATGGCATCAATAAAGGATCAGGAGATGAGAACATGAACCCCTCATAAGTCAGCCTTCTGTTCTTTGTGCTTCATATGTAAGCACTGCTTTATTCTAGTTGTAATCATATGTCACTGAAGTACAGGACAAGGGGGTAGAAGAAGAAGTCAACAAGAGGGAGCAAGTAACTTTGCTTAACTGATGCTCAGACTAAAACAGGAAAATATTAGATCAGAATCAAGAGGCTGTGGCCCACGTGGCCCTGGCTCATGTTAATTGAAACAGCAGGTCACATCGTCCACCTGGGTTTTGTCAAAGAACAAATGCTTTAGCCTGAGGCTCTCTCAAGTTTAAAGAAGCAAATGCCTCTCAGCTAAGAGGGGAAAAAAATCGGTAGGGGCATTGACATATATTAGAAATTTAAAATTGTGATTGTCCAGTTCTCACTGAAAGAGGGGATGCCAAACAAGAAAGACCCCCACGAGACCAAACTGAATCAGCATCTAAACAAGCATCAGTCCCAAAGGAAAAAGCAGATTTGAGAGAAAAAGCCACAAGGCTGCAAATTCAGAGGGCAGGATGTAATGAGGTGAAACAGGCTGTTCTGAGCAGGTCAGAGTGAGGACTGTGACGGGTGAGTGGGTATGTTCAGGCACGCCCTCTTACATACTGCGCTTGCCCGGAGAGATGTGGGGATGGAGTGGAGGTAGCACAGATGTAAAGTTGCCAAAGGAAGTCAGATTATCTTGAAGGGTGATTTTCATGGTACTTGTAGTAAAGAGAAAGGATGGACAATTACGCAGCAGTGGTGCTTGTCTGAAGGTAAGACAACGGACTCACACTGGGTTAGTGGCAGATCTGAGAGACATTGTTACTTTAAGAATCTGGTCTTTACTTATTGGGGGGACTTGATCACATTTTGTTCGGGGACAGGATTGGAGGGAAGCCAGGTAAGAGGTGCAGAGACCAGTTGGCAGGCAGTGGTCCAGATGAAAGATGGTGGGATTTAGTCCAGGGTGACTTTTCCAAAACCCCACGGCTAGTCGGTGTCAAGAGATAAACAGAACCTGGGCTGTATTTCCTTGTCCAGTGCTCTTCCACTAGTTTTGGAAAAGGGACAGTCTGGAATGGGGGCCAGACCTGAGTGGGATGAAGAGGGCATCCTTGCATCTAAGCCACTTGGTCTGGGGAGTCAGAGCCCTTATCAGTGAGGGGGGCATCCATGCAGAAGAGGCATCCTGGGATGAGGAGTCAAAGCCCATGCAGGGGGAGGGGGGCATCTGCAAGGGGAAGAGGCAGGACTGGAGATGGGAGATAGGCTCATACAGGGTAACCTATTAAATGTATAAATATAGTAATGACAATGGAAGCCAGCATTCTCACTGTCAGAGAAGGGAGCTACAAATAAGGAGCTGGAGAAAATGTGGTGGTGGTGGACTGGATTTAGATGTACTCCTATGGATCCATGATAATATATAGATACAGATATAGAGATAGAAATAATGTGTGTATAACAATGAAATAACAGAAAAGGAAAGTAAAAACAAAAAATCCCTTTTGAAATTGTATCCAAAAAAAATATTTAGAAATAAACCTGACCAAGGAGATAAAAGACTTACAAGTGGAGAACAATAAAACATTAATTAAGGAAATTAAAGATGACTTCAAGAAATGGAAAGATATCCCATGCTCTTTTATTGGAAGAATCAATGTTGTTAAAATGGCCATACTACCCAAGGCAATCTACAGATTTAATGTGATTCCTATCAAATTACCCAGGACATTTTTCATAGAACTAGAACAAATAATCCTAAAATTTATATGGAATCACAAAAGACCCAGAATTGCCAAATACTGAAGAAAAAGGATGAAGCAGGAGGAATAACCCTCTCAGACTTCAGACAATACTACATAGCTACAGTAATCAAAACAGTGTGGTATTGACATTAAAAACAGATATATGGATCAACGGAACAGAACAGAAAGCCCAGAAATAAACCCACACACCCATGGTCAATTAATCTTTGACACAAGAGGCAAGAATACACAATGGAGAAAAGACAGTCTCTTCGACAACTGGTGTTGGGAAAGCTGGACAGCTGCATGTAAATCAATGAAGTTAGAACACTCCCTCACACCATACACAAAAATAAACTAAAAATGGCTTAAAGACTTCCACATAAGATAAGACACTATAAACCTCCTAGAAGAATACATAGGCAAAACATTTTCTGACATAAATCTTAGCAATGTTCTCCTTGGGCAATCTACCCAGGCAATAGAAATAAAAGCAAAAATAAACAAATGGGACCTAATTAAACTTAGAAGCTTTTGCACAGCAAAGGAAACTATAAATAAAACCAAAAGACAACCTATGGAATGGGAGAAAATATTTGTAAATGGGCTATTTTCCAGAATATATAAACAGCACATACAACTCAATAACAAAGAAACACATAACCCAATCCAAAAACAAGCAGAAGACCTAAACAAGCATTTCTCCAATGAAGACATACAAATGGACAATAGGCACATTAAAAAATGCTCAATATCACTAATTATCAGAGAAATGCAAATCAAAACTACAATGAGGTATCACCTCACACCAGTCAGAATGGCCGTCATTCAAAAGTCCACAAATGACAAATGCTGGAGAGGCTGTGGAGAAAAGGGAACCCTCCTACATTGCTGGTAGGAATGCAGTTTGGTGCAGCCAATGTGGAAAACAGTATGGAGATTCCTCAAAAGATTAGGAATAGACTTAACCATATAACCCAGGAATCCCGCTCCTGGGCATATATCCTGAAGGAACCCTACTTCAAAAGACACCTGCACCCCAATGTTCATAGCAGCACTATTTACAATAGCCAAGACATGGAAACAGCTTAAATGTCCATCAACAGATGACTGGATAAAGAAGAAGTGGTATATTTATACAATGGAATACTATTCAGTCATAAAAACCAATAACATAACGCCATTTGCAACCAACCAGGCTAGGGGCCAACAAAGCCCACCAGACCACCCGCATAGCCTGCTCACCACAACAGAAGGACCCCCAGCCCTCTTAGGGGGAACCCCTAGAGCATATAGCTTGGGTGACAAGAGGGGAGTGCACTGCTGGGGTGCACAGAACACCTCCTACAGAGGCCACTTCTCCAAGGTCAAGAAACGTAACTAACCTACCACATACATAAAAATACAAACAGCAATTTAAACAAAATGAGGCAGCAGAGGAATACACTCCAGACAAAGAAGGTAAAATCCCAGAAGAACTAAGTGAAGTGAAGATAGGCAATCTACTTGAGAAAGAGTTCAGAGTAATGATCTTAAAGATGATCAGAGAACTCGGGAAGAGAATAGATGCACAGAGCAAGAAGTTAGGAGTTTTTAACAAAGAGTTAGAAAATATAAAAAACCACCAAACAGAGGTGAAGACTACAATAACTGAAATTTTAAAATAGTGGCTATTAAGATGTGTAAAGTGGTAGTACAGTACCTAAAACACTGGAGATGACCCCCAAATTGCTAGTTCCCCTCAAAATGCTACTTCTCCCCTTGCAGCAACTACCATGTGGGGTGTCTGCTAAGTCTGTGATCCCCACTCTCAGAACTTCCTCTCCCATCAGTAGGGACAGGTTTCCACATTCCTGTCTGAACCATGTGACCCTGAATCAAAGGCAGATACAGGTAGATACCACACTCAGGTTGAGTCAACGCAATTCTTTCTTCCAGGAATTTAACATTGGAAATCAGATGCTAATTAGTTTCCATCACTGACCTTGAACCTGGAGGATGAGTAAATTCAGTTACATCTGACATTTTGGGAGAGAGAGCACCAGCCTTGGTTTGTTACAGCACTCTAGTTCTGGTATCTCACAAAGCCTCAGTTCCCTTAGGATGCTCCAGCATCCCAATACATTTCCTCCTTTTGCTTAGGCCAGCTAGAGTGGATTTGGGTCGGTTACCAAAAGTCCATGACATTCCCTCCCCGACCTTGTGCCAAAGTTTCCAGCAACCCTGCTCTTCCACAAAAGATGTCTTGGTGCCACTGCCAAGGCTGGCCGCTTTGGCCACTGACATGACCCTTCTTAGCACTTCTTAAGGGCTCCGGGGGCTGTCAGGTCAGTTTCACTTACCAAGGCTGGCCTCGGCCAACAGCAGGTAAGCAGGCACCAGCTCGACTGAACTCAGGCCGTGCACATTCATGCGGAAGCGAAGAGAGTGCAAAGCGGCTGGGACAGCATCTTCGTGTTTTCCTTCAAAGAGGTATTTCTGGGCTACGGTGTAGCAGAACTCGATCAAATGCTTCTGCGGAAGAAAACACTAGACCGTCTGAGACAGTCTCAAGATGAAGGTAAAGGGTACCCTGAGAGATAAGGCCAACACTCAGTGACCTGGTTGAGAGCCATAGGGAGCCTGCCTGTACTGAGGTGGACACAAGCCCCAGAGTAGATGATTAAAAAGGCAAACTGGACTGTGAGTTTCTGAAGGTCCAGGAATAAGGATCTTTTCATTGTCAGTCAGTGTTTGGCATAAATGAAGGCTCAAGATAAAATTATGAAATGAACATTATTCTTATACTTCTAATACAACTTCAGTTTAGCAGAGCTGTCATGTCTCAGGACAATCTGAAACTTTCTGCCTTTCTCCTTGAGTGAATTTCGAAAGAAACATATTTTTTCCTTCTGGAGCTATCCTGCTTCACCAACATCAGAAACGACTTTAACTCTGTACTGTTCTAAGGCCACTCTCAAAGTGTCACAACACAAAAATTGATGAACCTTTTGTTTGGAGATCTATGGCTTATAAAGAACTTTTTTTTTAAAGAATAATAGATATGCTATTAATGCCATAATAATAGTTTTCCTGATCTTATTTATTCCTAGTATATTCGTACATCATGTTTTGACCTCCTATTATGTGCCTAGGCTCTTCTGCCAGTACGTGACATATATAAGTGTTACGGCTGCATTCTGTCCCCCCCTAAAATTCGTATGTTGAAGCCCTAACCCCTAGTGCCTCAGAATGCGACTGCATTTGGAGATAGGGCCTTTAACGAGGAGATTAAGCTACAATGAGGCCATTAGGGTGGCTCCTAATCCCATCTGATGGGTGTCCTTATAAGAGGAGGAAATTTGGACATACAAAGAGACAGTAGGATGTGTGCACACAGAGAAAAGACTGTGTGAAGACGCAGCAAGAAGGCAGCTGTCTGCACGCCAAGGGGAGAGGCCTCAGAGAAACCAACCCTGCTGACCCCTCATCTCAGACTTGCAGCTCCCCAAATTGTGAGAAAATACATTTCTGTTGTTTAAGCCCCCCAGGCTGTGGTCCTTTACTGGCAGCTCCAGGAAACGAACACTGCAGGTATTCAGTGAATGTGTGGAGAACAACTGATTGAATGGTGCTGAGGACATAAAGACACGGAACCACGCCTCTGCCCTCAAAGAGGTGATGGTTTAGTGATCTCGCACATTTCACCCTTTTCCCTGGGCCGTCTCTCTGCACCTGTCAGTTAACCTGCCAAGTCCCAGAGGCCCTACCTGGCGCTGCTGCAGCTGCTGTAGGCCGTGCTGCCGTTCCTCCTCCGAATTGTAGAAGGGCATGGAGGTGCGCAGGGGAATCAGGAGCTGGCATATCTTCTCATGGATGCTGCCCCAGTCAGCTCTTTGATGAATCACGCCGCTGACAAGAAAAGCACGGACTTCATTCTCTTTACCTGTGGCTTGACCTCAGGTTCTACTGGCCCTACGGCTGGCCTGGCCCGAGAAACTAGACAAGTAAGCCCAACACAAACCAGGCAAGGAGTCCAACGCCGCTTCCAACACAAATCGCTTCTCCTTCACATGGTTGTTTGATGGCATAAAAACTAGGGGTGTGCAAGGAGTGATAGGAGGATGTTTCTGCAGACAGTTCTATGGTTACACTGTGGCTACTCTGCTTTTCCTCCTCCTTAATAACAACAAAGACAACTTTAATGCTGCATTGTTCTTGGCTCCTTTTCAAAATATCTGAACACGGAAGCCGACAGATCTGAGGGTCTTTTCCTTGGGGAAAGGAAACAAATTTACATTGGATGAGCCTCTAGGAGACACTTTCCTATAATCAGCATATACATATATGTAAATATGTATGTTTATAGATAAGTATGTATGTGTATCATATATGTTATATATGTGTTATATTACACAACATACTATATTTATGTTGCACGGCTTGGGAGAGAACCACCTGCACCATCTTCTGTGTTCCGGGGGGCCGTTCACACAGAACACACTGCAAACGCCCTCCAGTCCAAGTGGGGCAGCAGGTGGTCTTGCAAGTAACAGGTTAACTTTTTGAAAACAAAACAAAACAAAATCTACTACTATTTTGAGGGTCAGGAAGCACAGGTGTCACAAGGAAGCACAGGTGTCACGAGTAAGTGGTTCCTCTAAGCCTGTACTCTAAAGCCAGTCATTTGCCGGCTCTCCAGAGGGAAGCACTGTGGCAGTTTGGTATACCGCTTTTCTGACTGTTTCATATGCATATTCAGTATCTGTAAACACTTAACTGGACAGTATAAGCACAGAACATTTGCAACATTGCAGAAAAATTCTGTCGGACATCACTTCTACAGAGAATCCACTCTGTATGGATTTCCAACAAACTAGTGAATATAACAAAAAAGAGGCAGACTCACAGATACAGAGAACAAACTAGTGGTTACCAGTGGGGAGAGGAAAGCGAGCAGGATATTAAAAGGTACAAACTATTATGTATAAAATAAGATACAGGGATATATTGTACAACACAGGGAATATAGCCAATATTTTATAATAACTATAAATGGAATATAACCTCTAAAAACTGTTAATCACTATATTGTAAACTTCTAACTTACATAATATTGTACATCAACTATTTTTCAATTTAAAAAACTGCAAAAAAAAATCAATTGACCATCTTAAGTAAAACAAAATAACAACCTACAGAATGGGAGAAAATTTTTGCAAGTGAAACTGACAAAGGCTTGATCTCCAGAATATTTAAGCAGCTCATATGACTTAATAAGAAAAAACAAACAACCCAATCAAAAAATGGGCAGAAGACCTAAACAAGCATTTCTCCAAGGAAGAAATACAAATGATCAATAGGCACGTGAAAAAATGCTCCATATCGCTAATTATCAGAGAAATGCAAATCAAAACTACAATGAGGTATCACCTCACACCAGTCAGAATGGCCGTCATTCAAAAGTCCACAAATGACAAATGCTGGAGAGGCTGTGGAGAAAAGGGAACCCTCCTACACTGTTGGTGGGAATGCAGTTTGGTACAGCCTCTGTGGAAAACAGTATGGAGATTCCTCAAAAGATTAGGAATAGACTTACCATATGACCCAGGAATACTGCTCCTGGGCATATATCTGGAAGGAACCCTACTTCAAAATGACACCTGCACCCCAATGTTCATAACAGCACTATTTGCAATAGCCAAGACATGGAAACAGCCTAAATGTCCATCAACAGATGTCTGGATAAAGAAGAAGTGGTATATTTATACAATGGAATACTATTTAGCCATAAAAACCGACAACATAATGCCATTTGCAGCAACATGGATGCTCCTGGAGAATGTCATTCTAAGTGAAGTAAGCCAGAAAGAGAAAGAAAAATACCATATGAGATCACTCATATGTGGAATCTAAAAACAAAACATAAATACAAAACAGAAACAAAACATAAATATAGGACATAGAATACAAACCTGTGGTTGCCAAGGGGGCAGGGGGTGGGAGGGGACAGACTGGGATTTCAAAATGTAGAACAGATAAACAAGATTATACTGTATACCACAGGGAAATATATACAAGATCTTGTGGTAGCTCACAGTGAAAAAAAAATGTGACAATGAATATATGTATGTTTATGTATAACTGGAAAATTGTGCTCTACACTGGAATTTGACACAACATTGTAAAATGACTCTTACTCAATTAAAAAAATGTTGAAAAAAAATCAATTGACCACAGATGTATGTGCTTATTTCTGGACTCTCAAACCTATTCCGTCAATCTACAAGGATAATCTATCCTTAGTCTATCCTATGCCAGTACCACACTGTCTTTATTACTATAGTTTTACAGTAGATCTTGAAATTGAGAAGTGTGAGTCCTCCAACTTTGCTCTTTTTTGAGACTGCCTTAGCTATTCTGTCTCTTACATTTTCATAATAATGTTAGGATCACTGTATCCGTTTATGCAAAAATAACAGTTGGAATTTTTATAGGGATTGGATTGAATCTGCAGATCAAACTATCTTCATGTTAAGTTATTTGAAATATCTTTCCATTTATTTAGTTCTTCTGTAAATTCTTTCAACAATATTTTGTATGTTTCCAGTGTATAAGTCTTGTACATCTTTAAATTTATTCCTTTATTTAAAGTGCTATTATAAATGGAATAGCTTTCTTAATTTCATTTTCAGATTGCTCATTGCTAGCATTCAGAAATACAACTGATTTTTGCATATTGATGTAGTATCCTATAACCTTGCTGAATTCATTAGCTGTAATAATTTTTGGTGGATTCTTTAAGATCCTTACATATAAGATCATGTTATCTGCAAATAGAGGTACTTTTACTCCCTCTTTTCCAAGTTTTTATTTCATTTTCTTGCCGAGTTGCCCCACCCAGAACCTCTACTATAAAGTTGAATAGAAGTGGTGAAAGTGACCTTTTTTCCCTCATTTCTGGTTGAGGGGAAAGCCTTTAGTCTTTGACCATTAAGAAGGATGTTAATGCTATATTTCTCTATGGCTCTTTCATAGATACTTTTTAACAAGTTACAGAAGTTCCTTTCTATTCCTACTTCGTTAAATGTTTGGGTTTTTTTTTATCATAACAGGTGTTGGATTTTACCAAATGTTTTTCTGTATCTATTAAGATGATTATGTGATTTTTTTGTCCTTTATTCTAGTAAGATGATGCCTTATATTGATTAATATTTGTATGTTGAATCAACCTTGAATTCCTGGGAGAAATCACACTTAGTCATGATGTATAATTTTTTTCACATGCTGCTGGATTTGGTCTGATAGTATTATGTTAAGAATTTTTGCATCTATATTCATAAGGGGTGTTGGTCTTTCCTTGTGATGTTTTTCTCTGGTTTTGGTATCAGGATAACATTGGCCTCATAAAATGAGTTGGGAACTATCCCCTCCTCTTCTATTTTGGGGGAAGAGTTTGTGAAGAATTGTTAAGTCTTCTTTAAATATTTGATAGAATTCACCAGTTAAATCATCTGGTCCTGGGCCTTTCTTTGTGAAGAGTTTTTTGATTACTTAGCTAAATCTACTTGGATATTCTATTTCTTCTTGAGTCAGTTTTGGTAGTTTTGTCTTATTAGGAATATACTTCATGTAGGTTTCCTATTTTGTTGGCATACAATTATACTTATTCTCTTGTAATCCTTTTATTTCTGCAAAGTTAGTAGCAATGCCCCCACTTTCATTTCTGATTTTAATCATTTGAATCTTCTTTTCTTGATCAGTCTAGCTAAAAGTTTGTCAACTTTGATCTTTTTAAAGAGCCTACTTTCGGTTTGATTCTCTCCATTGTTCACTCAGTCTATTTAGTTTATCTCTGCTATAATCTTTACTATGTCCCCTCTTCTGCTTGCTTTAAGTTGAATTTGCACTTCTTTCTCTATTCTTAAAGTGGAAGACCAGGTTATTGATTTAAGATCTTCATTCTTTTTTAGTGTATATGTTTATAGCTCTACATTTCCCTCTGGGTACTGCTTTCACTGCATTTTGTAAGTTTTAGTATGTTGAGGTTTTGTTCTCATTTCATCTTAAAGAATTTTCTAATTTCTCTTGTGATTTTTTTTTTGACTCAGTGGTTGTTTGAGTATGTTATTTCCACACATTCATAAATTCCCCAAATTTCCTTCTGTTATTGATTACTAATTTCATTCCAATATGATTAGAGAACATAATTTGTATATTTTCAATCCTTATAAGTTTACTGAGATTTGTTTTATGGTCTAACATCTGGTCTATTTTGGAGAATATGCCATATGCACTTCAGAAGAATGTATATTCTATATTCTATAAATGTTTGTCTAGATGACTTAAAGTGTTGTTCAAGTCTTAAATTTCCTTGCTGATCTTCCGTCTATAGTCGTTTTATCCATTATTGAAAGGGAGTATTGAAATGTCCAATTGTTATTATTGAATTACTTATTTCTCCCTTCAATTTTGATCGTTATTGCTTCATGTATTTTGAGACTGCTATTGGATGCATACAATCATGGGTTTTTTTCACTTCTGTTGTCTATTATGTATTTTTACCTAAGTGTGAGAAACTTAGCTGCTTGATTTCATTTATATATGTTCCAAAACAGGTAACAATAACCTAGGACAGGAATCATCAAAGTTCTTCTGTAAGGAACCAGATAGGAAGTTTTAGGCTTTGAGAGCTTTGTGGTCCCTGCTGCAACTACTCAGCTCTGCTGTAGCGCCAAAGCGGTCACAGGAAATACACAGTGCGTTCAAACTGTCTCTCTCCTTCCTTTCTTCTGGGACAACAGAAATGCCATAAAGCATTTTCTTCATAAACTGCAACTGCTATCATAGAAATGACAAAAAGC